TAGGATAATTTTTAAGAGGGGTTTTTAGAGGGGTTTTTAATCATATTTTAATCAGACAAATTTAAATATTTCATTTTAATTAATTTTAACTTTGTGATTGTTATTGGTGTTTTTAATTGATTGTCAGCCGCCCTGAGTCCGCAAGGAGAAGGGCGGGATATAAATTCGAATAATAAATAAATAAATAAATAAATAAATAGTGTCTCTCATCTGAGGATCTTCTGATAGTTCTAACAGCTTTTCCAAGGGCTGGTTGACAGTTCAAGATAACAGGAACTGTTGATGGTGCAGCTTTGCCTGAACTAGATGAACTGTTTTTTCTACACAGCACAAACCACTTTGCCAAGGCAAAACCCAATATTTCATGTAAGCCTATTAGATAACCAACATCTTTGACCAAACCTACAATTCAATGGTATGTTGAACTGAAGACAAATGAAGTACAGAGGTAATATTACCCAGGAACTTCATCAGAGCTAGTGTCATGGTTGACTCTCTACACAGGCCTGCTCGCAACCAGACAACAGTAACAGGAGGGAGGAGGGAAGACATTGGAATGTAAGGGAGGTTTGGGAGGGAACTGTGGAATACAAGTGTGCTTCCTGGAAGCATGAGACAGATCTAAACCCTAAGGTCATTGAGTGGCAACATCCGAGGCAGATAGGCCATTTCCAAAATAAAGCAAGTGCAGCTGATTGGTGGACAATGGACAACAGGAGGTGGGGGGGAGGAAAAGTTTTCCTATGCTATTTGTGTGCAAAAATGTCAAAAGTGGCTTTTCTACTTCTGTACCCATATGGCTTTTCAGTAAAGTTACATCTTCGAGAAAAAATGTCCCAGGAGTTTATTTTGCTAATTACTGCAGTGGGACGGTTGACAGCAAATGAGATCTATCCTGCTTCCTTTTGTACCTTTGCATTGAGAGGAGATGGGAAATTCTGAATTTCTGATGGCCTGATATGTGCTGTGCAAGATGCACTTCACTGAGCTTCTTAAACCTTGTCAGCTTGACATTGTTTGATAAATGTGAGAACAAGTCAAGCTGGCTGCTCACTTGTCTGTATCATCAAATCTATTAAGTTTCCTGTTATCCCAGAACTCGGTTATCATTTAAGTTTAACATTCTATAAGTAGTAGATTGCATATCATTAAAAAGAAAATCTAGGTCAGTGGTGGAGAACTTTTTAGAGACCGAGTGCCCAAACTACAACCCAAAACCCACTTATGCATCGCTGGGTGCCAGGTGGGCATGGCCACTGAGTGGGCATGGCCACCGAGCTGTTGGCTCGCTGTCCGCTCCAACTTGTGCTCACTCTCTCGCTGTCTGCAGCAAATGCTGCTTCCGCCGAAAGTTGCTCTTTTTATAGCCTCTGGCCTATTCCCAGACTGTGCATGTGCGGAGAACTGCGCATACATGGAGAGGAGGAGGGAACAGCTCGGCCCAGAAATGGCTCGCGTGCCACCAGAGATGGCTCCGTGTGCCGCCTGTGGCACGCGTGCCATAGGTGCACCACCACGGATCTAGGTCCTAAGTAATTACAGGAACATCATCAACACATTTATTTTTTTTAAACATTCTTGTTGTTACATTATATTTGGGATATAACTGAATGATAATGATAGAGCAATACAATGGTAATTATTCATATATCCCCAAAAGTAGCAAATATATCTTATACCTCTGTGGCCTGCGAAAGGAAGAAATCCTATCCAATCCAGCAATTGAATTTTCTGTCAGTTAGCTATGCCATCTAGTGGAAAGTGAAAATAGTAAGATGTCTGTGGAGATGCTCAGTCATCCAGGTCATAGTTACCCCAAAGGTGCTTTTTCACAAGGTAAGTGGACATTCTTGTTTTTCTTTGAAGAAATTTCTCATCGAGAAGCGAAATGTCTTCAAAGAAAAACAAGAAAGTCCAGTTGCCTCATGAAAAAGCACCTTTGGGAGTAAGAACAAGAATTCTATGTATTGTCGATATCAGTCTCTTGCCGGATCATATAATGCACACTAGCATTACATAAATACTAATATTCCATCAGGAAATTGCACAACTTTTGATTAGCATTCCTTATATACAAAGCTGTGTGCTATATAATGTTAGTGCAAGTTAGCATCCTAAAAACTCCTTGGGATCTTCCAGCAGTCACTCATTATTTCTTGGCATCCGACTTAAGCTGTGATAAACACACACAACAAATGAATATATTTAGGCTATAAGACCATTGTCCCTTTTTTCCATCAATTCATTTTTAGGCATGTGCAAAATGGGTCAATTCAGGAACACTTGGGAACAAATGGATGAATTTTGCATGTTCCCTCTCAACTTCATTACATGCTTAGTATGGATGAGCAACAGTTCTATTTTACAGCAAGAGGTTAACTTCAGTTCTCAACCTCTTCTGGAAGAGCTAAATATATTTCTGCCTGCCTATATTTCTGTTAGACTATTATAACTTCCTGCAGTTATAATAGTCTGTCTCAGTATAAAGCAGGTTCATATGCTTCTAAATTATTATTGAAGGTATCATTCAGTGGTGGGATTCAGCCAGTTCGCACCACTTCGGCAGAACCGGTAGCTAATTTTTTGTTGCCCAGGCCCAGAATGGACTTCCGGAAGCGGCATCCATGCAGAGAACCGGTTGTTCACATATTTGAATCCCACCACTGGTATCATTAAGTTAGATCGCTGATCCCTCTAACTAAGTACTGTTAATTCTACCCAGAAATATTTTTGCTGGTTCCAGGCATATGTGTTTCCCAGCCTGGAATTTTATTTAGAGCCTCCCTATCTCTGTTCTACTTTTACAAGAAATATTTAAAAAGCAAATTCAGATGCTACAGATATAGAGATAGCTTTTATCAAGGGTAGATGATAAAACAGTGCTGTTTTCATGCTCAGCATATCATCACTAGGCTCTGTGATGTCCAGGTTAATGCTATTTGCTATTTCTATAACAGAATATCAGAATATCAGAATAACCACAGAGTTGGGAGGGACCTGGGAGGTCTTTTAGTCCGACCTCCTGCTCAGGCAAGAATTCCTATACGATTTCAGACAAATGGCTTCATTTTATTTCAGAACAGTACAGTATTGTATCACTCCTGGATTTGTTTATTGAAACGGAAAAAAACCCCAAATTTTAATTTGCGGTGTTGATCATTAGATCTGTTTGTGGTGATAGAAGTACTGTTCATGATGCCTTATTCTAGCTCGAAGAGTCATTGATGTTTAGGTTCTTATCTGTACTGAAGAAAATCAGAAGTTACTTTTTTCCATAGCTTTTTTTCCCTTTTAGTTGGTTGTTTTTTTCAGGTTGGTTTTTTTTTTGTTACCCCTTTCCCTCTTCTAACTCTTTTTCTTTGTCTTGTTTTTTTATATTTTATACTTTTTTTGAAATTTAATAAAGTGTTGAAAGAAAAATCTTTATCGGGGTCCAGTCCAAGCTGGGAATAAACATAATGGAGACTGCTTTAGAAAGAAGGTTGTAGTTTATTGAAGAGCAGAACCAGACAGAAATGTGGCTCGGGGAAAGCTGATCACATGTAGCCGGGAGTGGTGGGTTTTTATACCTTCTTGGGGTTTTGTGCTTGGAATTCCTTTTCCTGTGGGTTTGTATTTCCTGTGTGATGTAATTTGACCTGAGGTTCTGACCTGGTATTCTGATGGTGGTGGGTTAATCCTATTATGTCCTAAAGGTCATGTTTCCTGTCCTTAGAGCTTGGATGGGGTATGTAGATTTCAGGGGTCCTTGTCTTTCTAATCTCATCAGCTCCAAGCTTCCTGCCTTCAATCTTTCTGAAAGGATGATCAAATCTGTATTTCTACAGACCTGGCCTCTGTCTGGGGCTATTAAGAAAACTGGGCCTGCTTTTCTGCCTTTAAGATCCTTTGGGGAAATATAATACTCTGCCTTTTAATATTCCCAAAATATTTCTTTCTCAAGGGGTGTGTGTGTGCAGTCCTCCCACAAAAGGTTTGGGGGAAAAATGTTGAGAGCACATTTCAGGAAACAAGTACGGAGGCTGACACCAAAATTAAGTTAGCAATACAATAGAAATAAAAGCACTCCCTTTTAAACTTATCTCCTTTTCTGTTGTAGGCAAAACACTTCCGAAGAAGATTTAAGTCAGACGATTCAGAAGAAAATGCAGTATGTTGGCAACATCCTTGATTTTTTATTTGGGTACTAAGCATAGCAATTTTTTTCTTAGATTTAACTATTAAAATGTTTTCCTTTTATTTTGGCAGGTGTTCAAGAACAAATACAGGCATTTTCTTTATAGATATCCTTACTTCTACCCACCTATGAAAAGATTCCAGGTAAATACAGTTATTGCTATTTTTTTTTAAAAAAACAACTTTTAAACTCCAGACAGAGGGAGGCAAGATAGCAACTTCAAAATAGGCAAGATAGCAACTTCAATAAAACAGTTGAAGTCTGCCCCCTTTTTTATATGCAACACATCTACAAAGAGAAGCAGGTCTTTGATTGCACAATTGTGGCTGCCACCTTAATTTTTTTGCCCCTGCTGTAGGCAGATGTGTTCCAGATTAAAACCTTTAAAAGCATTTAAACTGATTATTGAGACACAGTACAAAGATGAATATAGGACCTAAGTAGGCTGTATAATTCCTGCAAATACAGGTAGTCCTCAACTTAGAACAGTTCATGTAGTGACCGTTCAAAGTTATAATGGCAGTAAAAAAAAGTGACTTATGATCGTTTTCCACACTTACAACTGTAGCAGCTTCCCCAGGGTCACGTGATCCAAATTTGGACACTTGGCAACTGACTCATATTTATGACGGTTGCAGTGTCCCGGGGTCATGGGATCCCCCTTCTGCAACCTTCTGACAAGCAAAGTCAATGAGGAAGGCAGATTCACTTAACAACTGTGTTACTAACTTAACAACTGTAATCAATCACTTAACAACTGTTCAAGAAAGATTGAAAAATGGGGCAAAACTCACCTAACAAATGTCTCACTTAGGAACAGAAATCTTGGGCTCAGTCGTGGTCATAGGTCAAGGACTACCTGTCATTCTATAAAATATTGAAAATATATGACGTGTTTTACTTGTGTACAGCTATCCAGACATAGTATATTCAACTTCACATAGGTAAAAATGCCACGGATGGTGAAATTGATAGTGAAATTATTCTTTCAGTTCCTTTGGACCTGACCAAGGTGGACCTGACCAAGGTGTTATTTCTTGCACAAATGGTCAAATATCAGAAGTAAAATCACAGAAAAGGAAGTAACTTGTATAGACCATTGATGGACAATATTGTTGATCCAATTCCAGTTTTTTTTTTACAGCTTTTTCTTTCTTCCATTGTTAAGGAGACAAGTGGGATGTTACAGAACATCCATAAAGCAGTGGTTTCTTATGACCAAGTTGGGAGTAATGCAGGGGCCTGTTAATTATATGTTTTCAAATATGGGTCATGTAAGGAACTAAAAATTGTCTTCTGGGAATGTTGCCTCAACAGAACAGTGGTTTGGCTTCTCAGTTAGGGACAATGGAGATATTTTTATATTGATCAATGGCTTTGCAGCCTTGGACAATGTATCTTTCCTGCTTGTCTTATTATTTCTTATGGATAATACAAAGATTAACCCTGAACATCAATAGTTTTCTTAAAAGCCTGGAAGATCTTGAAGTTGTGGCCTATTCAGACCCCACTTTTGGAAAGAAATAATATTTTCTGCCTTTTACGGCAGTATGAATGAAATTAACATAATCTAAGGTGGCTTATTCAGAGCTCTGCAAAGCTACTACGCCACGTTTCCACTGGAAAATTGCCTTTCAGTAGTAAAATAAGCTAGTGGTTTTTGTAATGCAATCCACACTGAGCTGCAGGGTTTCCGACAGGAATCTTTCTAAGGCAAATTAGAGGTGCAAGGATTAGTATCCAGAGATTCTACGGTTAAATCAAGTCTCTAGGCTTGTTAGTTTCCTATGTGAACTTTCAAGGCTAAATATAAACACCACTAGCTTTTTAGATAAAAATTAGAACCTGGAATATGCAAGTTCACATGATGGTAAAGGACTGACATCCCCTAAATCAGTGGTTCTCAACCTTTTTAATGCCGCGACCCCAACCGGTCGTAAGTCGAGGACTAAACCGGTCATAAGTCGATGACTAAACTGGTCGTAAGTTGAGGACTAAACCGGTCGTAAGTCGAGGACTACCCAACCGGTCGTAAGTCGAGGACTTTCCTTGCCCGGGAGCACCACGCATGTGTGGTTCCGCCCCCTGCGCCGGCCGAGGTGTAGCTGGCAAGCGGCAGAGATGGAGCAGGCCGACCACCAGCTGGCCCAGCCCAAGGGAGGTAAGACACCCGCTGGAAAAGGGGAAAAAAATGGCGGACAAAAAAAATGGCGGACATAAAAATGGCGGACAGCCTTGCTTGGCGACCCCCATGAAATGGTCGATCGACCCCAAATGGGGTCCTGACCCACAGGTTGAGAACCACTGCCCTAAATGGACACAAGCTCAGAGAACGAACTTTCGCCCTCATCCTACACTCGAGCTACAGATATTTGCCACTATTGCAAAGGATTCAAAAACTTGCAATCATTGGTTGCCTCACTATAAGGCAGTGATGGCAAACCTTTTAGAGACCGAGTGCCCAAACTGCAACCCAAAACCCACTTATGTATCGCCGGGTGCCGGGTGGGTGTGGCTCACTTGGTGAGCACAGCTACAGTGGGCTTAGAAGACTGGGTGGGTGTGGCCACTGGATGGGTGTGGCTGCTGTAGTCATGGCAGATTGGGTGGGCATGGCCGGGGTGGGCGTGGCCACCTTGATGTTGCTTATGGGGAGGGACACCTGTGGGAGCCGGGCAGGGTTGGGGGAGATCCAGGGGGTCTCTGGCGGGTGGGATGGTGGTCTCCCCAATGGCGATTCCAGGCTGGCTGGCCTTAGGCCAGTGATGGCGAACTTTTAGAGACCATGTGTGCTGGGGCAATGGCGCGTGCCCACAGAGAGGGCTCCGCATGCCGCCTCTGGCACGCGTGCCATAGGTTCGCCACCACTGCTATAAAGTATACAGGTAGTCCTTGACTTACAACCACAATTGTCCAAAATTTCTGTTGCTAAGTGAAACAGTTGTTAAATGAGTTTTGCCCCGTTTTACGACCTTTCTTGCCCCAGTTTTAAGTGAACCACTGCAGTTGTTAAGATACTAACATGGTTGTTAAATGAATCTGGCTTTCCCATTATTTTTGCTTGTAAGAAGGTTGCAAAAGGTGATCAAATGACCCCGGGACACTGCAACTGTCATGAGTCAGTTGCCAATCATCTGAATTTTGATTGCATGACCACAAGGATGCTGCAACAGTCGTAAGTGTGAAAAATGCTTGTAAGTCACTTTTTTCAGTGCCATTGTAACATCGAACGGTCACTAAATCAACTGCAAGTCAACAACTAGCTGTATTCCCTTATTGCTTCTATTTTATTTTTCTTAAGTACACCAACAAAACATCTGAATTCTGGGCTCTGAAGTACTGGAAAAGCTACATAGACTTGAGTGTCACTGTATACATAGGGGAGAGCAAAAG